CTCCCATGGTTGGTCCCACACCACTCCTGATGACATTTGAAACTTTCACTCATGTGGTTAAACGTGGCATGTGGGTCCCCTAGCCACGGATGGCACTGAAAATGTCATGGAAGCTGTCATGAGAGAGCAATTACCTGCCTTCCTGGTATAGTACAAGTTGGTGCCAAAGTTTCATGTTGGTTTCCCACCCCCCCCACCCCTAAAAGGAGGAACTAGTGCAGAATGACCTCCTTGGTTTAGGATCAGTGGCTGATGATGGTCCAGAATTCTGGTGGGTCACAGCAGCTCCACCCACCAGCCCTGTACCTTTCTCCTGGTAAAACCTCCTATAAGCAACACTAAGGCTACTTGTTGATGAGAAACCATTAATATGAGAGACTATGCTTCTATTGTGCCTTGTCTCAGGTGGGATTGCCAACTTCCTTCAAGGCAGAACAGCTCCGTAACACATAGGCATTTTATTATTCATTATTATTTTATTCATTAGCAGTAGTTCTAGACCACCCACTAATCAAGTTTTCTGTGGACAAATAGCAAGAGAGAAATTCAATGACAAACTGCGTTTGTTTGTTTTATTGTTGTGCTATCATTTCGAAATGACTTAGTGACTTAGTGTATGTTAATCATAAGGCTGCATTGATTTGTTCTGTTGTGATGCGCTTTGAACATATTTATGGAAAAGGGACATATAAATGTAATGATTAAATAATGAACAAAAGACCATTGTATGCCATAACAAGTATATATAATGCAGCAGTTCAAAGATAATGACAGTAGCAGGGAATAAAAACAACAATCTCAAATTCTCAAGCAAGACCAACAATATTTTAAGCCAATTTTAAATGGTATTGGAAAAAGAAATAAGGCACCCAACATCTCTGGGAAGACCATTCTACAGCCACCAGTGAAAAATCTCTTTCCCCAGTAACCACCCATTGCACCTCACTTGGAGACTCATGGGAAAGGGCAAACAAGGAAGACCTCAAAGCCTGGGTTGGTGGGTGATGGAAGAAGCAACTGTTCAGGTAACCTGGTCTCAATCAGCATGTGGAGATTTTCCTGCCACTGGGTGTTAATACTGAGAGAAGTTGTTGCATGCACTGGAGCCTCACCAGAAAAAAATAACTTGGTAACGCCATGAAGGATACTTTACATGTGAAATATTTTGCATCAAAACAGTACATTAGATTGAATAACCCTCTGATGCAATTATTTCAGTACAAACTATTTTTAGGGTAATGGAATTAACGCAGATGAATATACCTTTGAAATGATGTGATACAGAAATGGTTTCCGATGTACAGTTTTAAGAGAACACCATCTGTTAAGTGGCTATTATAAAAAGTACAGAAAATGGCGTTATTTAAATGGAATTGAATAAATCCAAAAGTCTGAGTTAATGAATCACTAAAAGATGAATCACAATCATTACTTCAGAAATAGTTATCTGTTACCATTACAGCTATTAATGCAATGGTAAATGGAATACAGTGGGAGAAGGCTGCGGAAGTCAGGAGAGGAAATCTATTTGTAGAGCTAGGTTTGCTGGTCACTTGCTAATTCATTTAAATTGTGCAATTTTGGGAATATTGCATAGTACAGTGGTACCTCGGTTTCCAAATGCAATCTGTTCTGGAAAACCGTTCGACTTCCGAAACGTTCAAAACCCGAAACTCAATAGCTGACAGCTAGAACTCAGGATCTTGCATTCAGCAGAAGCCGTGATTCCTGTTCGACCTCCAAGGCACATTCGAAAACTGAAACGTTCGACTTCAGAGGTGTTCGAAAACTGAGATACCACTGTACTACAAATGTAACTAGACTATGAAGTAAAGGGAAGTGCCATAGGAGGTTGTGAGTCAGAAATCCTTGCAACTCACTAGGAGACCTACGAATAGATCCCAAACTCCCTTCTCCGCATCTCTTGCTTGTATCACCCAGATCTCTTTAACTGATTTGAAAAAGGTGGCTTTATATTACTCATCTAGCAAATATAAACCTATGAAAAAAGCAGATAATGTTGAGCAGGTATCCAGCAATGTACATCCAAATATGTACTTTCAGGAAGCTAGATGTTAGGAAGCAGAATGTCCGGAGAATGTGAAACTTCTTGTGGAGTGTTTTCTTCCTTCATAGCTGCAGTTTGGATCGACAGACATTCCCCATTTCCACATATAGCTGAGAACATGGCTAGCCCTGCTAGGTATTATGAATGGTCTGCATAATTCAGACTCCTCCCCACCCCCCAGTGCCTTTGGGAAGATCACAAACAGGACATGGAGGCAGTGGGGGCCTCTCCCACTGCTCTTTGCAGTGTCTGGCTACAGTCCTATTAATTTTACCAACTTTAATTGGAGCAAAGCAAATATGAAAATTAGAACTGCTAGGTTTAATTGATTCACCAGTTAGACTCTGTTAAAAGTAGCTGATTTTTAAAAACCCTTTTATTCAAAGTAGAAAAACTGCCCTTGATTAAATTGGGAAGTTTTTTTTTTAATTATGTGTAATACAAGTGCTTATCAAAACTGCAGGTAAAAAACACAATCTTTCCAAAGAGTCTTTTGCCCTTCTTTCTCTCATTGGACGGATTCCCTCTTCTTAGATGGCGCAACACATGTGTGCATGTAAAAACAAATAAAATATGCTTCCTGCTTGAGAAATATTTTTGTACTCATATGCAAAGGCATGTAAATTTAATCAATAGATTACTTGATCAAGTAAAGGTCATCCATTGATTAAAATTCATTTAATCAGGCTGCAGCCCTAATTAAAAATGTTTACTGTGTTTCAGTGTGAAAACTGTAGTAATCCAATGGTTTATTATTCAGAAGGCTCTCTTAGATAATTACAAACTAGGAAATGAACAGATTATTAGCTGCTATAAAGATATATTTGGCTATATGAAAGAAGTGGTAAAACAAGTTATTCCCCTATTCCCATAATATGAGGTGAGCTGACATGAACTTCAGACTTCCCCTACCTACTCACTGATAGACCAATTAGTAATTATGGTAATAAATTATTACTATTCACAACCTAGCCTGTCAGGGTGATATCCCAGAGCTTAGCAGAAGAACCAAAGCAACGAGACATCAGAAGGCTGACAGAGACTGTAAGCAGCAGGAAGGAAGGTTTTCAAGCTTCAAATCTGAGTTGGTTGGCATCCTTCTATCTCGGGAGACAATGGAGGAGTGTGCCTTTGGGGGTGAGGTCAAGCTGTTGGAAAGGTTGCAGCGTCTGCTGTGGCTGTAGAGACAGATGCGGAAGAGACATGTTTTGTTGCAGCTGGGGCAGATGAAGGCGTACAATTGTGCTTCTGCAGATGCACCATGGCGTTTCTTCTCTCTGTGCTCTATTTATCAAACATGATTATCTGTTTATCTAACTTTGCCACCTATATCTTAAGCCTATAATACTATATGTACTATAATATTATACCTACTTACCTGTGAATAAGCCCCACTGAACGAAGTGGAACTTACTTCTGTGTAGATAAGGGATGTGGAACCTGAAGCCCTCCAGATGTTGTTAGACTTTGATTCCCATCAGCCCCAGCCAGCATGGCCAGTGGTCAGGTATTATGGAAGCTGGAGCTTCACACCCCTCTTGTAGATGTTTCTAGGACTGCACTACCAAGCTCATGAAGAATTGCTTTTCAAGAGACTTAGTGAAAAGACCACTATGGAATATCTTGTATTTTAAAACTCCTTCTCCTTTTCTGATGTGGATTAGTTTTAGGATAAATGAAAAACTGATCTGAATGTGACTCATTTGGCTCAAATCCACAATTTGTTTGCAAAATGAATACAGTGGTACCTCGGTTTTCAAATGTAAGACCATTCAACTTCTGAAATGTTCGAAAACCAAGGCGCAAAGGGCGGTCTGCAAATTTAATTGAGAAAAGTGAGAAACACGCAGTGGAAGCCATTCGACTTCTGAGGGGCATTTGAGAATGGAAGCATTTACTTCTGGGTTTTCGGCGTTCAAAAACCAAAACGTTTGACTTCCAAGAAGTTCGAAAACCAAGGTACCACTGTACACAGATGTAGAAATGGGACAGTTCTTTGACACTTGGATGTGAACCATTTGGGGAGGACTTACCTTTCTCCAAAAGCAGAAGTAGCAAAAGATCTCACTCTGGTGGCCAATACCTTCCACCCCTAGGAATACACTGTTCTGTAGCATGCTTGCAAAAAATGTCTGCCACCTCATAAAAAGGTTTGTTGCCAGTGCCCAAATCTGTGGTGGTACCCAAATCTGTGGTGGTATATTCAGATTCTTACGCTTATTCTTTATTATATTTAATAACACCTTTCAACTTAAACTCACAGGGCAGTTTACAGTATAAAAACACAAAAATATATACCATAATAACGAACAAAACAATACCCATTACAATATTATTTATTATGATAGGAAGTGACTGGACATGAGATGAACAGGAGAAATGAATGAAATAATGAAACAAATGAAACAGCACAATGGATGCAATATTTAATAACCAAATGGCATTACACAACAATATTACACAAACACACATACACACACCAGCTACTCTCTACAATGCAGAATCAACATCCTAGTCAGCTTCCTATGGTTCCATAGAGCCACTTCACAGATTTGCCTTCCGACAAGAAATTACAGAATTGGAATCTTTCATCTGCCAATAAAGGTTACTGATTCAGGGTATATAGCGTTGAAGCACCTCCATCTTTCAATATTTGCATGCTTTGCATGCTCTTCTCTTGCAAGGGCAAAGTGGACTCCACAAATGTGACTACAGCAGCTAGGTCACTCTGCTAGCATATGCTTTCACCAGGAAATTTAACATGAATAAAGTTTGCTTTTGGTTTTGAGCTCCTTTTTCAGACAGTCACAATCATATAACTCAGGGGTATCATTTTACCTGAACAGTCTGTGCTGCAATACCTTCTGAGAGTTCCTTTTTTTCATTTTAAAAAAGCATGTTGTGTTCATTCTCACTTTTCTTCTTCTTTCAGGAAACGAAGTCCCTGGGTTTTTCTTTTTTATATAGTAATGAAGAAGTCAAATTACACCAGAGTTATGTATTAAATGAAGTTGGTAAAATATGAATAAGTAGGATATCCATGGTGTATCTTTCACAGATGAGCAAATTATATTCATGGTTCAGTGTCATTCATTCACTGGTTTATGGATCACAAAGTCCTTCAGGCAGTGTGACAAATCCACATAAAGTCCCTGAGTGAGAGATTTTGCATTCTGTAGATGTGTTAAAAAAAATATTCCCCATGTAGCTCCCTGTGGCTAGACATCTGAGAAATCTCAGGAGCATAATGTTATTCCAGCTAAAGTTGGCGGTAATTTACACTCAATGAATTGGTTCCACGTCTGTCTGTTTCAAATTATTTGAGAGAGAAACAAGGCTTTGTGCTGAGTGCATTTACCTTTGGTCAAATTGTGCTTTGTACAGGAGATTTGCCATCACAAATGAAGATTATGTGTAAATAAACTGAGCACCTCATTACTATTTCCTCCCTACCCACACCATGTTACTGCTTACAAATGGTGGGAGCTTAACTCCTTACTGGGAAGTCTTTCGGCTGTTCACCTGTGACTTACACAGTATAATGCAATGCTGGAAAATGGAAAACACAACTTCCATCCTCAATCTACTGACATGTGCCCACAACACTGTTAGGATTCAATAAGCCAGTAAGATAAGGAATATACATAGCAATAAAGGTCATTGAAGGTTGTTAGTATTTCAGATAACTCAATGTACATATATTCTTGTTGCTTTGAAACACATGTATTCTTATTTGCTAAGTATCCATTAGCTTGAACATAATTTTAGGAGAAGTACAAAGGTCTTTACTGATATTAGGAGTATGTTCTTTCTATACATATCAGAGACAGGGATGGTGAAAGATCTCTCTAAATGAAAGATTAACCATTTATGTAATTTGTTTTGTTTATTGTTACTGTCCTGATTGAAGGTTAGCTTACTGTACAGGATAATTTGTAGAGTTACTCTGATCTGACTGTGAAGATGTCATGTCATAGCTTACATGGAATGTACAATGTGGAAATAGTTATGCAATTAATATGATGTATACTGTTTGTGAGAGAGTATAAAAGCTGTGTGAAACTTGTGAGCATTATAGTACCCATCACTTACTGGAAAGTCCTTTACTGTTAATAAAAGTGTAACATTTCACTTGAATATTGTCCCTGTTTTCTTATTTAATTCCCTACCTGGGCGAACCTGTGGTTTTGGCCATTCCCTTCACACACTCATAGAAAGCACCCCAGTATCCAGAAAAGGCAAAATACCTGCTCCTTCAGGGGAGTGCCACTTCAACCACAAAAGGTTGAACAGCCTCACCGAGATCACCAGTATTTTTGGCTAACAGCACCACAGTCTTGTCTGGATTAGGTTTTAGCTTGTTAAGTCATAGTGCCAGTGGACAGGCTTTGCATTCAGAAGGTTCCAGATTCAGTTTTCAGCAGCCCCAATTAAGAAAATACCTGCCTTAGACACTAAATAGCTACTGGCAGTGAGGACAAAAGAATACAGTGGTGCCTCGCAAGACGAAATTAATCCGTTCCGCGAGTCTCTTCGTCTTGCGGTTTTTTCGTCTTGCAAAGCACGGCTATTAGCGGCTTAGCGGCTATTAGCGGCTTAGTGGCTATTAACGGCTTAGTGGCTTTAAGAAAAAGGAAACAAACTCGCAAGAACTCCCAATACGTTTCGTCTTGCGAAGCAAGCCCATAGGGAAATTCGTCTTGCGGAACGACTCAAAAAACGGAAAACCCTTTCATCTAGCGAGTTTTTCGTCTTGCGAGGCATTCGTCTTGCGGGGCACCACTGTAGGGCTGGATGGACCAATTATTTGACTTAGTAGAAGGCACGTAACACGACAAAGACCCAGCAACACTCTACTTTATGCATAACCAGGAGCACTAATAAAGGGAATAAGCTGTCTTTGTCCAGCTGGAGTCAAACAAACGTAGTAAAAGCACCAGGCGTAAACCACTGACCGCATGCACCAATCCATGGGTGAAATTCAGCTGGTTTCCTGTTGCTCACAGAAGGGCTTTTGATCCAGCAGAGGTGTCTGATAATGAAGAGGAGGTGGGACGATATTTTGCTGATTTCCCCTGCAGCCCCCAAATGCCACCTTCTACCACGTTCTGAAGGATCCTCCAAAATATCTGGAGCTGTCTTATTTATGTGGTGGTGGTGCTACACATGGTGGAGAAGCTGTCAACAATCACTTCCTCTCCCCTTCTGCATGGGGCTCAACTGCTGATCCATGAGGTCAAGGGCATCAACTGGATTCTACCCCATGATTCAGCAATATGAGAATTTCACCTGATTCCACCCCACCCCCCAAGCTTGGGTATTTGAGACCTTGAATGGAAATATAGGGTTGCATCCAACTAAGTTGTCCTGTTGGCGCAAGGGCATATGCCTGTGCAGTGGAAATTTCCTTCCCTCTCCTTCCCCCATGCACCCCGCTAAATCCCCTAACTTTATGGAGCCAGCTGGGGAAGCACAGGAAGAAGAGAGCAAGGGGAAGTCCCACTGTACAAGCAGAAGTCCTTGCATACATGGGACAACTTGTTTGGCTACAACTTACAGTTCACAATAATGTGTCTGCACTATCTGCATGCCCTACAATTCTGGAATGACTCTATGATGTAAGGAAAAAGCTGCAGCCACTACCACTTTCTGTTACGTCTCCACAACTTAGAAACTCTCCTATCATTTGTAAGGGGGTTTCCGCTCCCTTTTGACCCTCTGCTACCCTGAAATTCAAGCCAAAGGTTGTACTGAAACAACTGTAAATACAGTTCTAGTTAATATATTACCTAAAACGCTTCATGTTTCCAAATTCCATTATCTTTTTCACAGTGCCTTATCTGTTTGGGAGGCTAATTGTTATGGTTGTACTCTGTAGCAGGTTTGCTAGTCAAATTACTCAATACATACAACTCATTTATAATATACACCTACAAGGTCTCACAAGTTAATGGTATGAAGGACTTGCGAGATATGGAAACACTTGTGACATGTGTCACTGAAAAGCAACTCATTTTTTAAAACAAAATTAAGGGGAGAAATGAGTATGGTATAAAAAATATTACTCTGATTTGCTTCAGACTTCCTGAATATATATTTTGCCTGTTCCAGAATTATTATTATTTTTAAAAAAAACATTTTTCTTCAAATGTTTTGATGGTTCTAAAGGCACAATTTACATAAATTCAAGCATCCTCGAGTTGCAATGTGTATGACCTATTTTGCTAGGGTATTATGTCTGTGTTGTTATATTTTACCATTAATATGCACAATTATAATTGGAAGTTTGGGTTACATTAAAGGGGAAAAAATTAATGTTGGAAACCAGCTCAAATCAGAAATAAACCTTTGAAGCTTAAAGTATTTATAGTAAAAATAGTCACAATTATAAGAAGCATACAAAACCATGGAAAAGTACATATTTCTGTAACAGTTGCTTAAGCCTCAAACTGACCTGTATATGAATTTTCTGTTCTGTCACCTTCTTGTTTTCTCGACTTACAGTGCAATCTCATACATGATTACTCAGAAGTAAGCCCCAGTGATTTCCGTGAAGCTTATTTCTATGCACTTTAAATGGATATAGAATGGCAGCCTCACACAGTTAACTTCTTAAGGCAATCATTCCTTCTGACAACAACACTGTATCACGACCAAGGAGAAGGGTCATTATAGAGCAGGGGTCAGCAACCTTTTTCAGCTGTGGGCTGGTCCACCATCCCTCAGACCATGTGGTGGGCCGGACTGTATTTTGAAATAACAAATGAACAAATTCCTATGCCCCACAAATAACCCAGAGATACATTTTAAATAAAATGACACGTTCTACTCATGTAAAAACACGCTGATTCCCGGACCGTCCGCGGGCTGGATTGAGAAGGCGATTGGGCCTCATCCGGCCCCCAGACCTTAGGTTGCCTACCCTTGTTATAGAGCATATGCTTTACCTGCAGATGGTTCCAGGTTCAATCATAGGGCTGAAAGGATCTAGTCCTCGCCACAGAATACTGGATGCAGTTGGATGTTCCTTTACAGATGGCCACCCAACAGTTCCCTTCCCTGTTGAACTTCAGGCATCTGCTGAAGTTCTTTTTTTTAAACCCCAGCAGGATTTTTAATGGAATTCTGATTTCACCGTGTCAGCTCTTTTTAGTTCTATTTTATTGAGCCTTCTGTAAACCCCTTAAAGACTGTAAATTAAGCAGTATATAAATTGTAAAAATATACATATCATACAGAACGGACACCCTGATAAGACTGTATCTGCAGAAGGCCCTCTGCAGCAGAATGCAGTGATCAATTAAGGAGTGAGAGAATATTTTAGGTATCTGAGCATAAGTGATAGTAACCAGTTAATTATTGCATATAACAGTATACTCTCTGGGAAATGATATTTTACTAATAAACTACTATTCCTTCAGAGAACCAGGAGTTTAAAAATAGACATACTTAGAGTGACTTGTTTTTTTTTTTTTTGCAAATGTCTCATATCAAATTTGTAGGCATAATATTTACAGCACAGCAAAGCTTTCAGCCCACTGCTGTCTTAATTCCTTTTCACAATTATCCATATCCCTTATGCTAAATGAAATAGTCTGATAAAGAATCAAAGGTGGTAAACAAAAACAAAAAAAGAACACAAAATAGGCAATATTTAATTTTTTTCTCATTTTAAATGCTAATGGCACAAAACATTTTTTTTTGAAAATGTAAGTCACTAGCTAACTATGAATGATAATCCATTTTTTTCTTAGGGTGTATAGCCAGAAACTCACTATGAGTCACCTCTCATCTGTGATAGAGAAAGCATATGGGGTTGCAAATGCTGGGAGATCCAGAGCTGAAATGCAATATCTATTTTTCAAGCACGGTTTAGAACAGTTTCACACCATTACTTTCAAGGGTTATGAGTCTATTACATGTCCATTAGGGCACTTACCAAAGACAAATCAAAGAATTATATCTGCAATTCATGCCTGTAATGGGTGAGGACTCAACAAGAAGTTCCAGATGGCAAATGAATGAAAAACCTGTTTTGGGGGGAGAAAGACAACAAACTTTGGATTTTGAACATATGTGAACATTCAATGTATCCGTCTTCTCAGCGACAGTGTGGCGATTATTTGACATTATATAATCACATCTTCCTAAAACAGCACAAGCAGGCAAATCGCAGAAGCTCAGCCGCTGAGATGTAGCATAGCTCTAGGTCTAAATACTCAGCCCAGTGATGCATCACTAAAATTAAGTGCATTCTAGATCACATCCATTCACCATAGTTATATATCTGAATGCAGATGTCTTCATATGAAGGACTCTGCAAATCGTGTCCTTAGCTAACCAGTAATACAGAAAATTCCATGAATATTTCCACCATGTGACTAAAAGCAAAGGCTGCCTGATTTGTGAACAGGGACTTCTGAACATTCATGCATTTTACTCAGAGAGAGAAGGAGAGAAATATTCACATTTACTTATTTGTATCTAGGCATCAGACAATCACAAACAAAGGGAACTACATTCCTGTATAAAAGCAACACGAGTTAAAAATAAATAAAAATTGCAGAAACCCAAGTAAGAAAACAAACAAACACAAAATGCTGACAATACACAGCATTTTCCATTAAAAAAATTCAATTGGAAATCTCAAGCTGAGAAATGAAATAAAGATGTAGTAACCATTTCTAGAGGGCAAGAGGCATCAGGCTGTTGCAGCAAAATCAGCAGAGAGCCTTGTGGCACCTTAAAACTAATACATTTCTTATGGCATAAGCTTTCCTGGACTAGTGTCCACTTCATCAAATACATAGAGTATTCTAAGTTGTAAGTATATATTTTTGGTCTCTCTCTCCCCATCTTCTGCCATCCCCCACCATACACATGCAAACACACCCATACACATATATGCATGTACACAGTTTTTGAGGACGAGGAATTATCTTTCCTTCAACCTGCAAAAGAGGTAATGCTGGAATGAGAACTGCTCTTGAGACAATAGCCACAGGCTTCCAGCATAATGTCTGGCTACTTTTCCTCTTCACAACTGTGCATTCAGCTGTCAGTCTTAAGCAGTCTAGAGTCACTCATGGATACCTGCTGAGAATGTATGTGTACATAACCAATTAAAGAAGTCATTG